TTTTTTTGGTTTTTTGGTTTTTCTCCGGTACCGGAAACCGAACTCACGACCTTGCGCTTGCCAGGCAGGCACTTTGCCGCTGAGCTAAATCCCCAGCTCCCTATCTAATGCTTCTGACTGCCGTATCACTGTACATTCTTCCTAAGTCTTTGTCTTACTGTATTTTACTAAGTTTTATAAAGTTAATACATGCTTTCTTAAAATTCCAGATTTCAATGAAATGTACTGAAAACTTCACATCAAGAATTTCACAATTCCAGAAGTGATAACTGCTCTAAGTTTTGAATGGGCCAGTGAAGATACTTTTATTAGTTATCCAAAATATACATTTTATGTTTCTTCTTTACTGTGTCAAAATTCAATTTATTTGTAAATCATTCAGGTAAAATGCAAAAGGTTTCCATTCACAGACAGAGGCTGATCCGTTTAACCGTCGCCCCTAGTGTGCATATTTTCTCTCCAATCCCTTGAGGTTCTACAATCACTGTAGTGACATCTATCTAAACCTATGAACTTGCATTAATTCCGAAAAATGTGAGATGTTCTGAAGTGTTATATAATTAATGATCCAGTTGTTCACTTGGCCAGGAATCATAACTGGGGAATGTACTAGTCCACCAATGGCAACCAGGAAATAGAATCAAAAGTAAGATCTGACTAGACAGCATGTTGCTGTGGTTTAGAATTAGATGTCTGTAGACTCAATTCTCAGCTCTGGCTGCACATTTCCCTGATGTGAAGAGGTTGTAAACACACACACACACAAATATATATATATATATTCACTCATGTCCATGTATGCACACCTATATCCAAGGTGCGGGCACTGGAATTTTTAATGTGCAGTCTTAGATTGAGAAATAATGCCTTACATTTACTGACCATTTTGAAAGAATAATGAGAATAAATGCACATCAAATTTTCAGACAAATGTTCTGATTTTGTACAGAAAGAGAGTCAATGGTGCTATAGAGATAAAATGGGAATGGGGGTTGGGCAGGGCAATATAGAATACAAGTGATCTTTCTTACCAAACCCTTAGTAGAAAATATTAAGTAGTGGAACAAAATTGAACTTTCTAGTAAGGTCTGATTGTTAGAACCTAGCTATCTGTGGGATTAAGCACTGTTCCCTGTTTATGGTATGAAACATCTAGCAATGTGCTCTGTAAAACAACAGTCACAAAAATATCAACAGTGTTAAAAAATGGCGGAGAAGATATTTTTGTGACCAAATCTGAGATATGCTGGGTAACTACCCTCGTTTTAGTGATAAGTGCACATTCACATGAGAACGTGCTCTGAGAGGCTGTGTAATGGAGAAACCTGTTAAAATTTATTTATTCAGCCCAATCTTTTCCAAACATAAGCATCCAACAAATATCAATTATTGAGAACTACTTTTGGCCAAGGAGTATGTTTAGTATTTCAGATGGAAGACAGTAAATGTCCCACTTTAGTGGTACTTACCTTCTAGTAGGATTCTATGAACAAACCAACAAATAACAATCAAACAAGCAAAGACTTCCTCCCTAAATAATGACTATTCTGAAGAGGATAAAATAGGAAGATCTATGTGAAGGTGCAAGGTGCACTGTTTAGAAATCAGGATGAGAAAGGGCCTCTTAAGTAGTAATATTTTAGCTAAAGATTTGAAATGACATAAGGAGAAGACTGTGTAAGGATCTAGGGGAGAGATGCTAAAATAGAGTCAATTACTGGTGCAGAAGCCCTTAATGGAGCTCAGTGAAGCTTGTTCAGAGACAGCAGTGTGGTTAAACTCAGGGACAATGTTTTGTTTGGGTGAGGAGTTTGGATTTTGTTTAAGAGGTGAAGCAAACAGTGGGACCACCTAGTTTAATTTACCTTCATTTATCTTCCTGGCCCTTCAGAGGTGAAGAGATTGAGGATGTGGGGTGGGGGGCAGAAGGACAAACACAATCAAGAAGAGTCTATTGAGGTAGCTCTTGAGACACTACTTTTTGAAACATGGTGGTTGTAGGTGAGACGAAGAGTGCTCTGGCTTATATCTAGGTGTCTTCCCAAAGCCTCATGGACCCAAGGTGGGGTTATAGGAGGTGGTTGGACCATGGGTGTGTAACACTGGATCATGGATGTGTGATAGTGGATTTATCCACCAATGGGCTTACAACTGTGTGTGATGTTGGCGGGTGACCTACTGTGGACTGAAACCTGTACAAATATAAGCCAAAATTAACCTTTTCCCCCTGAAGTGGTGGATGTCAGCTACTATACCTCAGCAATGAGGAAGTAACTAAGACAAAGAGAGATGCCCATATTCTGGATATAATTTGGAGGTGCCATCACAGACGTGCTTGTGGTGTATAAACTTGAAAATTGAATATAAGGGGAGTAGGAGGTGTAAAGAATTGATTATTCAGGGGAATCAAATTGAGTTGATTATGAAACACCCAACTTTTATTTTGAATGTGTTAGAAAATATCATGAGTAGGTGCTAGTAATGAGATATTTGCAAAATAGGAAAAAAAAAAAAAGCACCCAAAGGAACAGAATCTCTGAGCCTTAGGGCTCCTAAATTGTTTGTCTCTGCCCATCCACCTAGGGTTGTCTTAATGATCCTGTCATGGTAAAGGAACTTACCATGAGCCTGCATATGTGTATTATTCCAGATGTTGTTCCTGGATATGCTTAGTTTATAGTTTAAAAAAAGAGGAAAAAGAGGAATAGAAAAAAATAGAGGAGAGTGAGGGAGAGAAATAAGAATGAAATATAAATTCCTGAAAACTACTGCTTCTTGCTGACTTCTACGTATCTGAAGGGTGTCATGCAGGAGAAAATAACACTGGCTTAGATGTCAGGTGCTGCAGCATGTATGGCTTGCAAGTGAGCTATGAGTAGGGTAATGCCTTCTGATGTAGAAAGCACCCAGCCCCTGCTCTTTCTGTACGATGGTTTTGCAAACACCAGAGGTTTTCTTCACCTTTCTGACCTTTTATTTCCTCATCTGCAATTTGCCCATGCTGGCTCAGCTTCATTCTGAAGGTCTCTCGAGCTTTTGAATTTTAGAATCTGTAAGTCTAATTACAGGACTTTTCAAATTCTTATTGTCCCCAGTTTCCCGTAGCAATTTTGAATACTGCATTGGGCAGTGTGCTGATGAAGCCTAGCAACATGGTATCACGGTGTAGTTCCTACTTGAATGTTGGGGAAGCTTTCGTTTATGAGTTCATGAGACAGTGATACGGCTGGAACGTGTCGTCACTTCACTCAGTCATCAAGGGTGGGAGCAATTTCTTGGCTGGATTGTACAGTAGCTCTTCAATATTTTCTCAGATTTTTGTGCTGTCACAATAGCAGCCACAGACACGATGCCATTTTTTGTTTAATCTGCATTTTACAGAAGGAATTGTTTTTGAGGGTATCATACATAGTCACAAACTCATTTAATGGGCATAGTGGAATTTGAAGTAATCTTAATAAAAAGTTGAGGCAACAGTAACTTCTATGGATAAAGAGACATTCTGGCAGAACTTTTAATATGTTCTGGTTAAAGAAATTGACACTATTCATAGTGCAAACGCAAATCATACTTTGTTCAGAGACGTTATAAGTGACAAAGTGAGATGGATATTCTCCAGATACATTGATTTCATTTTTTTCCCTTTTCTTCTAGGGTTTTGCAGGGAATGCAAATGCAGACAGTGTAGTGTACTATCGGCTCCAGCCTTCTATCAAAGCCAGATTTCTACGCTTCACCCCTCTAGAATGGAGCCCCAAGGGCAGAATTGGAATGAGAATCGAAGTGTTTGGATGTGCATACCGTAAGTGGTTGTTTCTACCACACACTGAAGCAGGTATCACAGGAGATGTTTAAAAACCAAAATGGAAGCTGTAATTGACTTTTTAGATATATAAAGAGATATAAAGACAGGAATGACACTTGTAGGAGGTTCTTTAAGCCCATACATGACAATATTTACTTTATTGATCAACCTTAACACTTTAACTTAAAGATGGAAAGCATTTTGTAGATAGATGGGTGGATGATACAGGGACAAATATACGGTTGTAGGTACATATTTATAGATCTGTCCGAATACATTTTTTTTTTTTACAAATTTAATATTATTGACTAGATCCTAGTCTTCAAATGTAAGAACTTTCCCCCAGGGGTTATATTTGTAGATGTTTAATTTAGACACCCTCAATTTAATAAGAGAGATAGTAGTCCACTGAGTATCACCACTCAACTGTTATGAAAGCAGAAAATGTTTTTCTCTGTAGCCTAAAAATAAAATGTCACGCAATTCATTTTTAAATATGCTCTGCCCTCAGCATAAATTAGTAGAAAAAGTAAAGACCACTGTCAGAATATAAAATGTGTTTGAAATATTTTCACATAAAAAGGCAAAAACCACAGATTTCACTTAGTCTCCTCTTAACGAGGCATTTTATTATATCTTTTTGTGTGGAAGGGATCTAAGGGTTATTGATAGTCTACCTCAAGCCACACCATCCTGTTAGATGATCTTTTATTATGGAACAGTGTGTTAGGTAAATGATCTACAATTATCAGATGAGCAGTCTGAGGTTTGGGGAGATTCAGCAATTTGCATGGTTCTTCACAGCTAGTATACGAATGTGTCCAGCAAAGAACATGGGACTTTTTCATTTTACCACCTCATGGCCTCTAGTAAACATTTATTTTTCAAAGCTTTTTTCACATATAGTCTATCACTTTGTGAGGTAATCCCCAATAGATTCTGGTTTACTTATTTTACATAAAAGGAAACACGTTGTAAAGAAGTGACTTAAAGATGTTTAAATTCTATCAGACAGGGACACCATATTGTACAGATTGCTAAGATCCTTGGATAGTTAGGGGTGTTTCTGGTACCCAACTCTGCCATCAAACTCCTTATATGACAGCAGCAACAACAACAACAATAATAGAATTAGAAATAATATTAATAGCATTAACTTGCATATTATATATACTATATGGTCCTAGACAGTTTACGATTTCTCAAAAGACCCCAAATAAGTATTACCAGATAACTACAGTACTCCATTTCCGCATTTTGCGAATGAGCGAGCTCACTTAGAATGGTTGGCTTGCTCACACCACATAGACAGGAAGTGGCAGACCTGGGTTGGCAGCCAAGCCCAGGGCTCCAGCTCCCGCCCTCTCCAGCTGTTGGATCGCGGAGCCGTTGGATGCCGTTGGACGGCCCGCTTCTCACCATCTGCCCAACCGAACTGCTGGCTTTCTTGGCTTCAGCAGTGCAGCTGAGCTTCTCCAGCTATGTGTTAGCTCCTCACTCCGCAATTATCACCTCTGGAAAAAGAATCTTAAGAAAATCCCGCTGTAAGATTCTGGAGCCTAGAATTCAGACAGTCATGCTTATTTGTCTTTGGGTCACAGAATCTAACAAAGCTCATTGCACATGATGGAAAGTTGGCAAGACAAATTTTAAAATGTTTCATATTTCTAGTACATTCTCGAGTTATTGTCAGCATCCACTTTGCAAAAATATTTATTTAGCATAGCATAAAGAGTTCACCATTATTGTGTGTCATGTGTGTTTTTCAGAGATATTTTCTAATTTAATCATTAAAACCACTTGTTCAACAAGAGTAAAATGAGTATTAGAGGTATTAAGCAGTTTGAGAAATTTCATATACTTAAAACACATTTAATTTGGCTGTAATTTCAAAGTTGTTTTCTCAACACTGCTCGTGATACCCATATAATAGTGACTCTGAGAGGTTCATTGCGTGCTCTGTTGCCATGTAACTCGGGAGGACCCCAGTGTCTCCTCATTTTTCTGGATTCAGACTCTGCGAATATTCTCTTTGCTGTGTCTGGACTGAGCACACTGCGCACATATTTAGAGAATGCCCTTTTCTCATTGGTTCAGGGATGGGGCTGGGGATTTA